ACAAGGGGTAACGGGTTTAAACGGAAAGAGGGAGATTGAGATGGGGCATTGTAACTGGACACAGAGAAATCCCTTGGCATCAGATACAATAATTCCCAGGATGTCAGCAAGAGGCTTTGCTGGTTCCTTGCTGCAGAACCGACGAGCAGCCCCGTGCCGAGGGGTGCTGGCAGCAGAGGGGTGCCGAGCGGCTCCCTCTGCCGCTCCGGGATTTTATGTCACACCCCTGAGAAGAGCCAGGAGAGAGCTGGAGTCTGAGCCCAGGGAGAGCGATGGGCTCCTCCGGAGCTCCCTGTGGGTGCTTCTCCTTTTGCTGAGCAGAGGAAACTTGGAACCAGATAGGACTGCAAGTGAAAATCAGATGGATGATGTGTTTAACACCGAGAGCAGGAAAGCTCTGGAGAGCCTGGGATAAGTTCCAGAGCCTCTGGCACAGTTCTCCCTCCCATTTAACTGGTATTTCCCCACTGGAACCTCTTTTTTAGAAAAAAATCTTATCTCATGGAACCATAAAAGCATTGTAAGAGCACAAGGCTTTTGAATCCTGCATGCAAAAATAAAACAAAACCGCTGTCCTACTCTGGCTGACCTTTAAGTGAACAGCAGAACATGGTTTTTTTATGACATAACTTGGAATGACACATTTAGTGTGTCTCGGGGAGGCGGGGGCCCTGCTCCACATATTCAGTGTAAAATATGGCTCCTCTTGCTGGTGGGGAGTTGGAAAAAGCAGAGAAGTTGGATGCATTTAACCGCCAGGCAAAGCCCAAACCCTCTGTGCCAAAACCCCTTCCTCCTGAGCACCGAAATGCTGCTAAAGGGGGCTGGAGGCCCTGGGGAGGGCCGGGCAGCCGAGCAGAGACCAGGCAGAACTGGGGGGGGAGGGGCAGAGGTCAAGCCCCCATTGGGGAGTGGAGCCGTGGGCTCGGAGGGCTCTGCCTGGAGGGCAGCACAGCCCCGGGGGTCGCAGGCAGCCCTGGGCGTGAGCAATGGGTATTCTGTGCCTGCAACAACTGTACTGCTAATAGTCACTAAATAATTAAAGTCTTAAAATCACTACTGCCTGAGATGCATGCATTATTTAAGAGGGTTTTGAGGAGAAGCAGGCTTGTTTTTGTTGCTCATTATCACTCTGCATCAGTTGGGATTTTTTACTACCTTGTCACCTCAGGACTCCACATCACAACCCATCCGTCGGCTGCGTGTGCGAGTAAGTGCACATCCGTGAACTGCTCACGCAAATCCCATCACTTCATCCTTGCAGGCACAAAAACAAACGCCTGGACTGCGTCACAACCGCGTCTGCCACTGCGACACGCAGCGTACGGGCACCCCGCGGCGAGAGGATACAGCTCCCGACACAACCTCCACGGCACCGCGCGGGGCCTCGCCTCGAGGGGCTGGTTTAGGAAAATATTCCACTCTGCTGTACAGGCTGCGCGTGACAGAGAAGCCAATGCTTCCCCAAGGAGGGGGAATCTTGCCAAAGCATCTCACAGAGAAATGCCTTCACTCCCAGCAGCGATGTGCTGACCAGTAAATCTCTCTCAGAAGAGAATCAGAACCAGTGCTCCCCGTGCGCTGAGCCTCCCTTCCCGAGAGCAAATCCCAGCTGACTTATGTGCCTTTACTTCTGCCTCGGGCTGAGTGATGAACGTGAACCAAGGCAAAGATGGCACGTTATCAGCATCAGAGGGGTTATCTGCAGGTGCTGCGGGCACCTTTGCGGGGGCTGTATCCAGACAAGCAAGCCCTGCTCATCACGTAAAGCTCACCACCTTATACGGGGGATTAAATTGCCGGTGAATCACCAAGGAGTCTCCTTTCCTATTTCCAAATGACTTAATCTCTGCACTCGATTCACATGGCTTTTTAAACCCAGAGACCCCAGGAAGCGCCCCTCTGCTTGGACACTTTTGTGGTTTAACTGGGAATAAATGCAATGCTCCAAACGGCTGAAGGCTCTGGATGTGTCTGGCCACGCACACAATCCACCGCACCTGACTCCGGGCGTCGCAAGCAGGCAGCGGAGTCTCCCCACATCCCTAACCCTATCCCCTTCCCACCTCCAGGTCAGCTCCACCAGTGTAACTGGAGCATCCTAGGACAAAAATGTCACGGCAGCTGAGAATGCAGCATCATAAAAGAGCATTTCAGACACAACCTTTACCGAAAACTGGCCCCAGAGGAGCAAGAGCACAGGGCAGACAACAGGAAAATTAAGCCCATGAACTCAGAGAGCCAGCTACAAATTCCTGGTTTGAGCCCATGGAAATCCAGCGTGGGAGGCAGCAGCCAGCGCAGTCACGCAGAGTCCTTACAGTGCCAGAAACCAGGACGTGCAGAGAGAAACCGTGTTAATACAGACACCGAGCGGGGTCAAACGTTAAAGTATTCGCTCCTTGTGTGCCCTCCTTGCTGTGGGTTAGGATTTGCTGGAATAAAACGTACAAGATTTGGTCCACCATGGATAAATCTGTGTGAGTGAAAAATCCCCAGCTCTCTGCCTGCGAGCACGGGATGAGGAGCCTGTCCCTTCACATACAGAGCAAGATTTATAAATAATTCACTCTCCGACTACACTCGGGCACTTTAAACCTGGGTGAGTCGCTGCTTTACTGATGCCGGGTCTGATCCTTCCCCGGAGCAGCATCTGCCCAGCAAACTGCTCCTGGAACGGGGCTCTCCAGCCCCGGTGAGCATTGTTGGGTGAGCAGTGCCCCAGCCCGGAGCCTGGGGAGTGCTGAGCTGGTCCCAAAAAGTCATTCCAGAAGGGACGGAGGAGTTTCATCTTCTGCTGCCCCTGGGAAGGGTTAGGTTGGCAGGTAAGTGCCGACTCGCTGGCTGCGGGAGTCACTCTGGAAGGTGCATTTTGGTTTTAAGCAATGAGGATGGGGATTACAGGATTAGAACTGCTTTAACTGTCAGGAAAAACTGACAGAAAGAGGACAGGGTCAGGTGTGGGACCAGGAGGAGCACGAGCGATTTCAAATTAACCCTTAAATACCCTTTTTTGCAGACACAGGTAGCATGTGCCCCAGGACGGTGCCGTACTCTGAGCACTCGCCTCTGCACAACTCTGCCAGCACATCAGCAACGTCAGCTCCCACCCACCCATGCCACCCTCCCCGCCCCGAAGACACTGTATCCCCCCTCCGGCACTGCCCATCGGGCTCCTGCGCCAGGCAGGACAGGCACGAAGGGCTGGGCACGAGCTCCCCGCTGCTTCTCTTCTCACGCAACAAACCTCACCTGTGGGTTCCCACAGCCCCTCCAACAGTCGGATGCGTCACACAGGACAGCATTCCAACACGTGCGGAATCGCGAACACCCCAGAGCCAAGGCTACGCTTCCCGGCAAGACTTTCAGTTCTCCATCAGTTTATATTTGTTCCATGTTTAAGGATGGTCTTGACAACCAGAGAACTGAAAATCTATATTTCTAACAAAAGCCTGAAGCGGAGACTCTCCATCGCACAACATGTGATACCCATCACGACTTTGATGGGAAGAGTTACGGCTCAGCTGCTCACAGGTCAAGAATTACCTCAGTAATAACCTGAAAACATGGACATGTCTCAGATTTTGCTACAGACATGAAGAAATTCACTTTTCAGCTCCTCAGACCGGCGCAGCTCACCAAGAAGAGTTTTTAAATGCCCCACATTAAGTATTTACAAGTCATAACTGCAAGGAACAGCCTCTCTGCTCTATGGCTCCAGGTTCCTGCCTGTCTCCAAGGAGCAGTGCAGGGAATTTCCTGCACACACGGACACCTGAAGTGCAAATCCCGCATCCATCACAGCAGCACCAGAGAGAAAACAGTGTGCCTCTTGGCATCTGTGTGCTGCATTCTGCCCTGCGCCTTCAGCACCCTCATCCTCACCACCCGGACCCCAGTGATGGGGCCGGACACTGCGGTCCCCTGGGCCACCGGCCTGTGGTCCCTGAAGAGATGCCCACCCACTCTCGCAGCCATGACCCAAGACTCCCTGTGCTCATCCTCCCACCCAGGGATGAGGGACAGACCCTCACCAAACACCCTGGCCCTATGTGACCCCTGCCCCGGGCATCCCACGGAGACTCACGCAGCGAGGACGTCACTTCCCCTACCTGAATGGCTTCTGTGGTGGGTGGAGGCCAGCGTCAGTCTTCCCCACAGCGTGGAAAGGCAGAGAGTGAGCACGAAAACCCATCTGCTCAGGCTTTGTACGTCTCTCTCACTCATTCTACCAAAAACAGAGAGATGCGTGGAGGAGGAGGGGCTGAGGAGGGCTGGGAGGTGCAGCCCCCACGCACCGATGCTGCTGCACGCAGCCGTGTGGTCCCCAAACAGACGTGGCCATGGGGCCCAGGGTGGCCTGGCTGGAGGGACACAGCCCTGGCAGGCAGGGCACACACCCAGGACTCACCCCCCACCGAAATCCCCCCGGCAGCAGCACTGACAGGCGAGTTACCTCTTACTGGGGTCTCACACTAACACCCACGCTTCTGCCAACCTCGGGTGGCCAGTCTTCAGGGTGGGGAGGACATCAGCGCATCTGCAAGAAGAAAGAACAGCACGGGTAGCGATACCTGCTGTAAGTACCTGGGGGTGGGAACTGCTGAGTGCCCGGGGAGCGGCTGGGGACACCCCGGGACTCGGCTGGCCCAGCAGACGCTCTTGTGTGCAGGAGCGCACGCCCGCTCATTGCGCGTGCCAAAACTCTCTGGGAACACAGTCCGTAACCCATCACACACACCAAAACTCTGGGAACACAGCCTATAACCCATCACACACACCAAAGCTCTGGGAACAGAGTCCGTAACCCATCACACACACCAAAGCTCTGTGGGAAGGCAGCCGTAACCCCGCTCACCCCCTTTACAGTGGGCGCAGAGGAGTTGCTCCTGATTTCCACTGCTGAGAGCACAAAACGAGGCCCGTTCGAGTAGGTTATTAACACAGATCACAAATACCAACTACAGACCCAGGGTGTGTGGGAAGAGCCAGAGCAAAGCAGCAGTGAGTCATTCCAGGTTTCACCTTTTCCGTGTGTGGTTATGGGCTCCCGTCACCCCCACGTCACCCCGGTCCCTTCCAGCGATGCCCAAGGTTTGGCTCTCAGGTTTGCAAACCGCTCACCAGCAGCGGGAAGGACCGCACTGGTGTCCCAGGGCCCAGTCGCTTTGCTGCTCGGCCGGAGGGGTGCCACGTGGGGTGCTGATGCCGGGTGGACACGCACAGCCCACAGCAGCACCGGGATCCACACACTGGTGTCCCCAGGTCAACGCCTCGTTCTGGGGCTGTTTCTCCTCTCAGTGCAGCTGCAAAGTTCATAAAACCTGACACAAACCCGTGCCCAGCATCCTTGAACACACCCGGTCCCCCCCAAACCTCTCTTGGCACCTCCGCACACACCAGGTCCACCACCGCTGCCCGCCGGCACCCCCTCCCATGCCACACAGGACCTGCGGGGAAGGAGCCGAGTCTTACATCCCCTGGAACCCTTAAGGAAAAACTTAAATCCCAGAAGACTCCGTCTTTTAATGCCAATTTCTTTAGATATGTTCTCCAGGCTGCAGGGTGAAGGAATCTTTAGTTTTCAACCACCTTCTAAATTTCTGTCCGCTCCGGACCAGGCTGAGACAGCGGAACAGGCTCATGTAATGAAGGGCCAGGACCAAAATCGCTGACATTTTTAATCAAAACAAAGCGATTTGAAGTGGTAAAAGGGCATTTCTTGTTTTGAAGCATTTCAAAATGAATTGTTCCATTTTAAACTGACATTTGAAAATGAAAAATGTTTCATTCCAAAATGCTGATTTCAAATGGTATTTTCCATTTTGCTTCTCCCAGCTGGAAAAAAAATAAAAATTAAAAAAAAAAATCAGAAAATGTCACCCAGAATGTTGACATTTGCCCAGAAAAACAGGAAGATATCTCAACCAAACCACAGATTGTACGCTAGCGATGAGTTTAGAGGTAAGAAAATGCTCGGAATGAATGGTGCGGGATGGGCAGCTTGGCCAGGCGCAGACTGAGGCGTGGTGGGGAGGGCATCCCACATCCTTCCCGCTTCCATCCCTGCCCACCCGGTGACAAGGGATGGATCCCGCTCCAGCACAACCCTCGCTCAGGCTACGCCCTGTGCTGCAGCGACCAGAGGGGATGTGCAGACCTGCACCGCTGCCCCACACTGAGCCTCCCCGAGCCCCTGCATCCAGAACAAACCTGAGATGGTCCCAGTCTCCTGGCTGCTGTCCCCCTCCACGCAGGGAGGGCAGCCAAGTTCCCAGGCACGAGCACCGAGACCCTCTGGAGGAGCCCGGCATGCCCAGCCCCTGCCCCTACCCGTGGGACCCTTTGGCCCACCCGAGGTCCCCAGGAGACACCCCCGAGTCTCTCAGCGGGACCAAACGCAGGCGCACCGCTGGCCACCTCCACCCCACGCAGGACGGGGACGCACTCCCAGCACAAACTATATTTAGCTCCTAAAGGCCGAGCTGTTTGCTATAGCCACGGAAGCATAAATAAATCAGGGTCATCAATAATGCAGCCCGCACCGTCCACGCCGCACTCCGAAGGGAAGCCACCACCGAGCGTGGGGGCCCGCGCGCCCAGCCGGGAAAAGCACACGGCCAGGAAGCACCATCCCGGCAGCGGCCATGGGAGCGATGCTCCTCCCGGGAGCCACGCCGGCACGGGCACTCAGGGCTCCCACTCGCACACAAACTCCCGGTAGGAAACGCAGCTTGGCAGAAATTGCTATTTTGACAGTTGCCAACCTCCAACGTCGTGGGATTCCAACTACAAATGTTTGGTCTGACTTGAGATTTTTTCATCCTGGAATGTCATTTTGAAGTGAAGAGCAGCGTTCTGGCACGTCAAAGCACTTAATTTTGATTGAAAGTATCAGTGTTCTCTCTTCCGTTACATTCTGTTTGGAACTTTGGGGAACTTTTCAGCAACGCTTTCTGCCAGCTGCTTTCCTCCTTCTGGGTCTGAGCTGGGACCTGAAGTAACTGCAAAGTGCCCAAATCTCTGTGAAGATCAATCTCAGTCGTAGCCAACGCGGCAGGAGACGACTGTTCCTCCGCACTGGCCATCACCCAAACCCGAGCCTCTTCGGGGGTCCCCCAGCACACAGACACACCGGGACCAGCTCCACGCTCCCCCTCCCAGACCCCAGCCACTCTGCCCATCCCAGGATCCAGAGGCGTTTTCCTCCTCCTTTGTTACAGCCGCAGGTAGAGCTGCAACCCTCCAGCCAGGACTGCTCCGTCGCAGCTCCGCTGGAACGCAGCCCAGCACCCCACGGTGCTAATGAGGGACTCTGTCATGCCAAATTACGCTCCCGGTCCTGCCAGTCTGGAGCACTGTTTGCAAAGGTCCGTGTGAGCTGGATAATTACAGTGAGCAGAATTCCACCCAAAAAAGGAACGGAGGGAGGTGGGGGAGGCTGGCACAGAGGCTGGTTTCTGTGCCGAGTGACACAAGCCACCCCCCCGCTGCAGCCAACCTTTGTGCACTTCTAGTCCTACGGTTCTCCCAGTTTTCCGAAAGCTATTTTCGTACTGCTGCTGCTTCAGCACTTCTTAGATCCTGGGCACCTTCATTTGGGGCAGGAAGAGGTGCGGGCTTTGGCGCAGCAGAGCACGATCCAGGGGCCCGCGGTGCCGGGCAGCCCCACGCCCCAGCCATGGAGCAGGGAAGAAACATGCCCGGAGCCCAGCCGGCAGAGAAACCTTCCCGTGGCCTTGGGGATGTTTCGCTGCCCAGGGCAGGGGGGAATTTTATTTTAATACTTCCCTGATGCAAAAAGTCAGACCCTCTCAGCAAACACCCCACTGTGCAGGACTGGGGGGACCGGCTGCGCCACCGGGCCCCCAAGACACCCACAC